AAAAGAAAAAAAAAAAAAAAAAAAAAAAAATCATAATTTGATGATCTATCCTTCATTGCAAGCCTATTCTAGATGGATTTTAAGATAAGAAATAAATTATATCACATGTCTTTCTTCAACACCTTATGACATTTTAAGTATCTAATTAATGACAAGTTCTTTATGTTTTACAAATACCATTAATAATGTACTTAAAATATTATATTTTAAGTATTTTAATTACTTACTTTTAGAATAAAGGTACTAAAAAATAGGATTTATATGTTCATAAATCACTTTTCATGATACAACTTCAAAAAATACTTTCAAAGAGTGATATTTGCATATAATAATAAGTGCTATAATAGTAGGTCTAACTAATAGATTGTACACTAGGCTTTTTGCAAAGTATTGTTTGCTTCTTGTAAATCCAAATGCTAATAATGTCTAAAGTACCTTGAAGCAATTCCTTGGCATACAATAACTTTGTTTATAAATGACAAAAGTAAATATTCATACATAAAAAAAACAAATTTTAGCATTTTAGATAATGAATATATCACATTATTATAATTAATTAAGTCCACTAACTCAAAGATAGTTAAAATTATATTATATAACCTACTTATTTATCAACATAAAGTTTTCTATTCATATGTATATAACTTTGATATTAATATATCTAAACATTAAACAAAGCACACAATTATATCCATGATCCACCATTAGCTCTCTTCATATCTAAGTAGTTCTTTAATCTCAAATGTAGTAATAAGATATTTAATAATTTCTAATTAAAATAAAATCAATTAATTTATTATATTGAATAAAACCACCTTATAATTTTACAAAAATTGTCATTTTTCTACAAAGAAAATATTTTGGTGATAATTTGATGCTACTTGTATATTTATTTGAACTTTTTATAATAAAACTTGAATATATAAAGATTGTGTTGGAAGAGCTTGCCACTTCTTTAAGAGAGTTCACCACTTCATTGGAAAATATGGTACAAATTATTGTGACCATGTACAATCTATGATATAAGTTTAGAATATAATTTATATAATTGTGAGTCATTTATGCATATACTATATTTAAAAAATTAGTTTAAATATAAAATTTTGTAATCAAAAAATAAAAATATATTTATATAATCTACTTATTTTATTTTTATAGTATAATTTTTTATTTCCATATAACTATTGTCATTTTATTGGCATATAATTTATTTTTTTAATATATTATGAAAAGAATAATTTGTAATTTTGGAAATCTCATATTTTATAAACTTTGGACTTGGTAAAGATATTAAACATATAATTAAGATCAAAAGTATCAAAAATAAGAGGTAAGTCAATTAAAAATTAAAAATATATAAAAAAAAAAATAATAATAATAATAACCTGAAGGCTATATATCTTTTAATTAAAAAACTTATACAACATAACAAGTCCACTCTTGAATTTTTAGTATGTTAATATGGAAAAACAATCTAAATAAAAAGTTATAAAATTCTACTTATTTCTAAAGCCAACTCAAAATTTAAAATGATCAAATCTTCAATATCTATAAATTTAAATACAATTCAAATAATTTGATGACAAATTAAAATAAATAATCCAAAAATAGATACAAAGACTTTTTTTTTAAACTTTAGAATAATACTTCTAAAATAAAAGTCAAAATCCAAAAGCCAAAGTGAAAGTTTCTATATTTTACAAACTAAAAGAGCAAGTTATTTCATCCAATAGAATTGTTAACATCAAAAATAAGAAGAAAGAGAAAGAAGTAGGTTAATTCAAAATTAAAAAATAAAGAAGTCAAAAAACTAAACACATCTATGTAATCAAAATGGAATATAATTTTTTTTTCTTTTTTTTTTCTGTTTTTTTTACATATTAAAAAAAAGATAATTTTGTAATTTTACAAAAATTCATTATGCCTAAGCTATAGATTTAGTAAATATTTTAATTATACCTTTAAAATTATAATTATAAAATATAAGATAAATCAACTCACAATTTAAAAATAACAAAGAAAAAAATCAAAATAAAATGTATTAAATCAAATGTCTTATAATTAAAAATTAAAAAATAAGTAGAGTATTTTAAGTCCACCATTAAATTTAGAGATATCCAAAATAAGGTGATAGAACTAATCAAAATTTTAAAAATCCTAAATATTTATAAAATCCACTCATATTTTTAAATAATTAAATTTTTAATATCTATAAATCTATTCACTTTTAGAATATTTGGATAACTTATTTAAAATGGAATATCTATCAATGTATTTATCGAAATTTTAAAATTCTAAAAAAAAAGTTATAATAAATATAAAGGTACTTAAGTACAATTTAAAGTTGCTATATCTTGCAAATTAAGAACTTATAGAGCAAGTTATTTGTACCATTGGAATTATAGACAAAAAAAATTATAAAAAAAGATATAAGGAAGAGAAGAGAGAGAAAGAGAGGAAGATAGGTGTTATGAATATGAATATTGGCATAAATAATTAAGAAAGTAAGATAAATTAAGCAAAAATAAAAATAAATACTTTTGTTGATAACTTGTGAAAAAACTATTTAGAAGCCTTATTAACACAGTTTTGACTTTAGTAGTATATATAGGTGATTAGTAGGTTGAAAACTTGGACAACAAGTTGGCCATGTATTGTACATATGAAAAACTTTCTTCATAAGTTAGACATATATTGGATGACTTATAGAACATATCTATGTGACTTCTTATTTAGATAATATATATAAAAACAAGAGTAATGCCTTCCATATTCTTATCAATTCTAAGAGTAATAATTTTTTATTCATATCTTATTTTAGAAATTATTAGATTACTCAATTTTTTATTATTGTATTTTAAAAGTTTCAGATTATTTACTTGTAAATTAACATTTTTAATTTTTTTAACATTAAATCTTTCCTTACAGAGAGTGGACTATCTTTCTTTGTGAAAATATTTGATTTATTAATTGAGATTGTAAATTACCATCATCTAACTTGATTTGTGGATTTATTAAAATTTTATATTATTAAGATGGAAGAAAAATAAAGTATAGATACTATATTTGTTGGAAGTGAAATAGCTTTACAACTAATGCATAACTTCATAAGCTTCTCAATATTCTTAAAGCAAAAAAATTATACATTATTAATATCAATTATAGAAGTATGCTTTTGAAAGAAGCCAATAATGATGCCTAATATCTAAGTCAAGAAATTGTATACTTAAGAAAAGCAAGCACATCAACCTTATAAATAAATCTAAAATATCATGCTACTACAAGTATAAAGGAGGAAAAGATTAGTATGCCAAAGAAGTTTGATGGAATATGATCAAAATTTCAAAAATTTCTACAAGTTAAGTTTTGTTTAAGGTTACAATTCCAACATTGTCTTAATTGAGACTATTAAAGTACATTGTTGTATACTAACACAACCATTATGTAAAAGAGGAAAGAAAAAATTTCATTATATAAGAGCTTAAATAAAAATATTTTAACAAATTATCTTTAGAAATATAAATAAAAGATAAGAAGGTAATAAAAATTAATAAGTGTTAATACTACCTTCTTTTAAAAGAAACTTCTATTTACTTTGTAGGGGCATAAATGAACCAAATCAAAATAAATGAGATAAATAATTGATAAAGACATCTTTAGGAAGGAATTAAAAATAGGTTTTAGTAAAAGTTATCTCAAAATACCAAGAATTGGTACCTAAAGTCTATTTCATGTGATTTGAATACATATTAAGGTTTTGAGGGCTTTTCAAAGTAAGAGATATATTTAGTGGATTTGGATTTTAAGAAGTAAAAAGAAAATTTTAAATTTAAGAATTTCATAAGTATTGTAGAATATTTACAAGTGAAATTTTGTTAGTCTATCATTGTGTTTGTTTTGAATGAGTTTGTGAAATATGATATTAATTGAATGGTTAAATTGATGGTTATGAGAGTTTTTTTGTGGATTATGATTTGCAATAATTGAAATTTAAGATTAGTGAGGGTTTTTGCAATCTTGTAATATCTACTAAATTGATTGAAGCAAAAATACGTGACATCTATTTAGACTTAAAATTCTACACACCATCAAATGTGTGAAGAAATTGAATAGCTCAGCAAGGAGAAATTGCTATTAGAACATCAACATTTGGATTGGAAAAGGAAGGCGGTCTACATCTAAGTGATTTAGGAGCTATTTTTTTGAATTGGTGAATTGATTTTCTTTAAAATTTGTGTGCTTGTGAATTGTGATGTGAGTAAAACTTTAGTAAAGATCAACAGTTAAAATTAATATTCATTGAAGATTTTAAATAGCTATAGTAATCGATTAAGATTTACTTAGGATTTTCTTGAAATTGTTTAGGATTTGTTTAAGGTATGGTTAGGATTTAAGATTTCCTTAGGATTTGGTCTAGGATTTGATTAGAGTTTGGTTAGAATTTAGGATTTAATTGGATTTTGGTCTAGAATTTGGTTAAAATTTCATTAAAATTTTCTTAAGGTTTGTTTAGAATTTAGGATTTGATTAGGGTTTGATTAAGATTTAATTAGGGTTTGATTAGGGCTACATTTAGATTTGGTTAAGATTTACCTAAGATCTACTTAAGATTTAGTATTTTAACTGAAGGTGGTGGATGAGGTATTACTTGATATGCAAGAGGTATCAAGATTGAACTTCAGCAAATAGACTGTTGTATTAGTTGAGTAATAATTTTGTATTTGCAGAGTACTCATGTTCTTCTCTCTGACCTCAATTCTCTCCTGATGTTGGCAACACATCTCGCCACAGGTAACATTCTTTCACTACCAATGCGAGCACATTAAAATTTTCTAACTCTACCCAACTAAAAAAACAAAAAAACACAAAAAAAAATTAAATATTAAAAAATTGAATCTGCACAATCCAAAAAACAATTCTGAACTGTCCTGGATGAACACCGGATTGAGAAAAATCGTCTTCCTCTGTGCCCGAGTTGGGGGAGGAGTTCTACGGTAGCCCACATGATGTACGTCTTTACCGCCTTTGCTTGCTTAGTAACGCGGCCTTAGGATCTACGAAAACTGATAAGTGAGTGATTAGACATCTGTTTACGCATTTTGATTGTGTAACAAGCGGATCTTTGGGCCTCTCTAACGATTTCAGTCCACTCTCATCAACCATTTCAATCGTCACCGGCATTGCTGCTTTCCGAACTCCTCTTCTCCAGCTCGGCGAGTGTTACATTGTTCACAAGACACAGAATCATTCGCCCTCGTGGTTCTGCAGTGTCAACCCTAGTTGGCGGCTTCTGCGATTTTTGGGAGCACAGAATACCTACATTGCGTGAGTTTGAAGTTCTAGCTTGAAGTTGTGATCAATGTCAGGGAAGGTTTCAGGATTAGAGGCTTGAGATGTCATATCCTGCCTGCAATGTAGATTATTTTTTGAGTTTTTTGAGTTTATTTTTATTTTATTTTATTTTTTTTCATCTGTGTTGCAGCAGTTTGAGTAGTTCGGAAAAGTGCTGCTGTCCAAGTGGAGAAGATATCTGATTCGTGAACTTGATCGCCTACATTGTAGATTTTTGTCTTCACTTAACTTTGGATGGTTTAAAAGCATTGAATGTCTTCTTGAATGTCATCACCAGGATGGGGACTGCAGCTAGTCGTGAAGGGCGCTTAGAATCGGACTCTGAGGATGACGGACTTGACTCCCCTCAGAGCCCATCATCCGAGAGAAATTTTCATGATTCTGAAGCGGGAACTCCAACTCCTGCTCCACGAGAGGGATCCACAGGTTTCTCAACTCCTGACGCTACTATTTCTCTCAGGATGGGTTCACTCACCCTAGACGGGGCGATGCCTTTGTCTGGTTTGATGAAGGCCAAGCTGTATAAATATATACAAGGGAAATGGCTTGCTACTGCGAAGAATGTGGGTTGGCGATTTGTCAAAGAAGAGGATGGTGATGAGGACAATGAAGAAGACGAACAGTGGAGAAACTCTACCGTTGGTCTCAAGAATTTCACATTTTGGATGTTTGAAGTGGGTGGTGTTAGAGCTAGAGTCGACGATCTGCTGCAGATGCAGTTTTACGAAGACCAAAGGCGAGTGGATTTTGTGGCTAAAGGCGTGTGGGCATTAAAGTTTCCCAACGAAGAACAGTATCGAGCCTGTGCTATGGAGTATGAAGATGCTAAGTAAGTTGCGCAGTTTTTTTTGTGGGAATATTAACCATTGTTGATTAATGTAGCGCAATTCTCAATCTGCATTCTTAATTTGGTTGAAGAAAAATATGTACTTCCTCATTGTGTTGACACTGGAGTAATCACCATTTTTTCTTTCGTTACCGAGGACAGGTTTGAGAATACATACTTCTTGAAACCAACTGAAGCGAATAAGGTTAAGATCTTTGGAAAAGACTTCTTGGGCTGGGCTTCTGGCAAGGAGGAGGACGCCTCTGTTTGGATGGATGCCGAGGATGTGATACCAACACCTAGCAAAATAAAGGAGCTCAGAGAAACGCTTAAGACACCTTCGAAAACAAATATTCAAAGCTTAGCGATAGGTGGCATGGATCACAGTTTTCTGGTGAACGATTATGGACTAGATGTGCTGGCTAACCGATCAACTGGTCTGGAAGGTACAGGGCTGACAATCCGATTCCAGGATGGAGGAAGACCTGGTATGGGTAGCTCTGTGTTCCGAACCCCGAAGAAAGGGATGCTCATCAGAGGAGAGAGCAACATGATGCTGATTAGTCCAGCTAAGGACGGGAAATCTATTGCTGGCGGTGTTAGCCAGCTTGATATCGGAACAGGGAAGATGGTTGCAGAGTGGAAGTTTGAAAAGGATGGTACTCCCATCACTATGAGGGATGTCACCAATGACAGTAAAGGTGCACAATTGTATAGCAATGGTTCTACTTTTCTTGGCCTGGATGATAACAGACTGTGCAGGTGGGATATGAGGGATTCTCACGGAATTGTTCAGCAGCTTGCCAGCCCTGCGGCTCTGACTTGGACGGAAGGCCATCAGGTTTGTTATTCTAGTCATGCCTAGAGAGCTGTGTTTCTGGACGTGTCCTTGAAATTTGTTTGGTCATGCTCTAGTGCCTGAAGTGATTGGCCGAGTTTGTGGCAATATTGATCTGCACACTAGTTATGACGTTTTGTTTGGTCACAATCACATTCTTATAGCAGTGGTAGGACTGGTAGACAGGTGGTTTCAAATGTTTTTTTCTTAGAGGTAGTAATTCAAATGTAAGGGTTTTTCCATGTGCTTTATATTTGCACTTGAACTTTACACTTGTTGTATTCTGACTTGGCCTTGCTCCTCATCGCATCGCTTTTTCTAATTTCTCATTTGTCATGGCAGTTCACAAGAGGTACAAATTTTAGCTGCTTTGCAACAGCCGGAGATGGCAGCGTGGTTGTTGGATCTAAAGATGGCAAAGTGAGACTGTACGGCACCACCAGCATGAGAATGGTAAACATTCCTATCTTGTTCTAGTGCATCAAAAGGTCAATGACTTTGCTTTTCATCCACTGATATTGTATGCATCGTTGTATTAATGGTACGCATTGAAACTCTGTGAAATCATTCGCCCAGAAATGGTTTTCTCTAGAAGCAACAACTTGTTCTCCATCCTATTGAGGTCCAACGTTAGTTATCATGAGTCCTTGAATGTGGTTACTTCATCAATATTTGAAAAGGTTCTGAATATAATAGTCCACATTGTTAAGTGTCTTGAAAAAATTCCAAGGAGCACAACAGATATTTATATATGCCATAATTACCACAAATGTGGCTTCTTCTGTTCAAATAATTATCTTTTAAAGTAGTTGGAAATTTCCTTCCTTCACCGTGAGGCTTGCATCGAATTGTCTCTCCTCTCACGCTCAAACTGGGTTGTATCTTATTTTCTTCTGAAGTGATCGTAGTGCAAGAAGTCTTCTCAAATGTGTGATGACATCCCCCTAATTCTCTATCTGCCAAACGTGACATGCAGGCAAAGACTGCCTTTCCTGGTTTAGGGTCTCCGATTACTCATGTAGATGTCACATACGATGGGAAATGGGTGTTAGCCACCACAGACACGTACTTGATTCTCATCAGTACAGTTTTCAAAGACAAGGATGGAAGGATGAAGACTGGATTTTCTGGTCGTATGGGAGGTAAGATTGGCGCACCAAGGTTATTGAAGCTCCGGGCTTTTGATGCACATCGGGATGGCAAACAACAGAAGTTTCACGGTGGCAAATTTTCTTGGGTAAGCAGTTGGTTGCCAATACACATGTTCTCATTATAATATTCCCTCTGCCATACTTTTTTTGTTAAACAGGAGAAAATTCCTGTCCCCATTTATGCAGAATAATGGTTGCAACATGCCATATACCTCTACATCTGGTTTTGAAGTCCTTGTTCTATGATCTGTATTTATGTCAGCATTGGTTTCTCTTTTTCTTGTTCCAGGTCACAGAGGAGGGTAAGCAAGAGCGATATTTGGTGGTTTCAGCAGGAACTTTCACTGTTGTCTGGAACTTCGACATTGTGAAGGACAGCACCCATGACTGTTACAGGTACCAACCTCGTTCCGGAACCAGCACAATTTGAATTTTAAAAATATAGCGCTGTTACAAAATTTGTGATCTTAAGCTACTGTTTATCAAACTGGTTCTTACTCTGCCGAGTGCACTGAATGCAGGCAACAAGCAGGTTTGAAGAGTTGTTATTGCTACGAGGTTGTTGAAAAACCAGATTCCATTGTGCAGAGCACGTTCATGCACGAGAAGTTCCTTGACGATTCAGGAGAAGCTCCTCTGGTTGTCGCTACTCGACAGGAATTGAGCTCATTCAACATTTGATCTGTGGGCAGGATCTGATGGCATTCAACTCATTTACAAAACCCCACTGACTATCTCAAATTGCAATTCAAATAACTATTTTTCTTCGTGATCAAGTACCACTTCGAATGCCAAGGGTTGGTGGGTAATTCACACCAGACCCTGATGCGTAGTGTAAATGCGTCAGTCAAGCTCCACTGGGGATCTGTGTGAAATTATCAAGCTTTTCTTTTTCAATTTTTAAGGTTGATCAGGGCACTACGTCATGAGTTACTCATGTCTTTGAAAACTGTCCATTACTTGTATCATTATGTTTTGATTGTATATGGACTTTCGTTTTTTGAAATTTTATTTCTAAATAATTGCTACATGACGATGGACCACCAACTTTTGAAACAACAAATTATTTCTTAAATACATAAATCTTGTTAATTTGTGTAGTCTATGTTCGTGTCTTACCACAAAACAAAAGCCATCAGTTTCCACACACTTTATATATATATAAATATAAATATATATGTATGTATTTTTTTTTTCACATATTTACTTAAACAGATGGTTAACATTCATTTAATTCTTTAATTCATTATATAAATACAACTCTATACACACACTTATTATTTGTTTTACTTTCTCTTTTCTTTTAAGTATTTTTTGTTTATTTCCGCACCCAAATGACATAGGTAAGGCGCCACCCAAGAAGGAAGGCCTCCGCCACGTGTGTCCACACGTGGATCCACAAAATTCAAATTAGAACCAGGGGCCGTGCTGCTGTGGCACACGGTTTGCGGTGGCCTGAAAAGCAAAACCAGGGTGCCCATTTGTCTGCCGTAGGCAGGGGCGCTATCCAGATCCTCAAAGTGGGGATATCAAACGCGACCTGGATAGACCTAGCGCCAGAGCCACACGTCGGAAAAGCCGGTTGCCAAGATATCGGCCCTCGGATAGGGACCTCAATGTCCACCACAAGGGTCGCTATGTCATCGGAGGCGCATATCGGCACCTGGATTGAGGCTGGCAATCATTCGCACGCTGCGCCTCCTCTGAAGCCATCGGTTTTGGACCCCGCATCTGCTTCATCGTGTGGAAATTTGGTCGAGTTGGGGGCGTTGAAGCGGCAGCACTGCTACGATTGCGCTTCGTTAGAGCCACAGTTTGCCACATTTCGTTGTCGTCTGAGGAGAATCGGGCGGATTCGAGGTGAGTGGTGGTTCTGGTTTTGATGCTCAGTTAGAAGAGGGTTGTTGGCGTCGTCGGCGTTGTTGTGGTTGCGGTTGTTGTTGTTGTTGTAGAGTTTTAGGGGTGGTGCATTTTGGGTGAGAGTTGAGAGTAAGGTCGTCGAAGTGGTGGTGTATGATAGTAGAGAAGATGAGGGTGGTAAGACAGTGAGGTCGCAATTCCAGATTGAAACAGTTTTAGTTTGTGAGGTAGTCGGGGCATTTATATGGTAAATTAGTCTGATTAGATATGTGGGTCCGCTCAGGATTTTGAAAGTGGGTGGAATGGTGTAGAGAGGATGACATGGAGAGGGTTTTACTCTAGGAGGTTCATGGTGCAAATTTTTGGAGAGGACTGAATGAGTGCGGGTTATTTGACTGATATTTTTCTGTGATTTCTATCTTATTTCTATTTTTTATTTTATGTTTGTTTATTTTTTTTAGTTTTTTTCTGACTGTCCAATTTGATGCTGGTGAAGCTAAGGACACATGTGGAGTTCGGCCACAGTGCTGCTCCTTTTACTACCTGCTCGGCATCGTGGCGCCAAGTGTATGCTGTCGTTCTGGATAATAATCTAAACCTGCAAGAAATACATCAGAAGGCGGTGAGAATGAGAGTTCAGTGCGATGTATGCGAGAAAAACAAAGCGGCGGTGATGTGTTGTGCAGACGAAGCTGCACTGTGCACAAGTTGCGACACTAGGGTCCATGCTGCTAATAAGCTAGCCAATAAGCATGTCCGCGTGCCTCTTGTTGGACAGCTTGAGCCTCCCCGCTGCGACATATGTCAGGTCCGTACATTACGGTTTTCGTATTTCACCAAAAAAAAATTAAAATTAAATTAAAAATAAGATCGACATTGTGAGCACACGTACTAGGTTCCATTACCGCTTCGTTCAGTGTTTCACTTCGACACTAAATGTTCAAGAGCATTGGCATTTTAAATTGTTATTTCAAGGTGCCAGGGCTTATTCGTATGGTGTATGAAGTTGGTGTAGAAATGCATGGCACGTGTCTGAGAACTTGCCACTTCTCAAATGCCGATGGATACTTCAGGCTTGGAGCATTTATGTATCCACCTTCTAATTTTGTAAATAATTTATGTCTATGTTGTAGTTGAACCTTGGACCTTTCTTATATCTTCTTCTTAGAACAAAATTAAAACTATGGCTGCACTGGGCTTGCAAGATGTTGTTACCCATTTTTTTGTAGAGAATTTTAGGTGGTGATTCTTAGGGCGTTAGGCTGGATACAAGGCCTACACGAAATTTGCTTGATGTGTTGCTTTACCATAAACGCATCGTTATTGGTGTTTTTCAGGAAAAACCAGGTTTCTTTTTCTGCTTGGAAGACAGGGCTCTTCTCTGTCGAGATTGTGATGTGTCCATTCACAGCGCCAACAAGCTGTCCTCCAACCACCAGCGGTTCTTGTTAACGGGGACCAGGGTGGGTTTGGATTCCATCTCAGGACAAGAAGGGGCAGAGGTGGTACTGGAGGAGTCACCGAGAGTTCCTACGCCAAGCACTGCAACGTCTACTCTTCCGTCAATCTCAAAGAGCACTCTTTCCTCTGGTTCAAAGTTGAAGGACAACTCGCAACCTGTGCCAGCAAATGCGACCCCCACTCCAAACCCATCATGGTTGACTAACGGTGGAAGAAACTCAGAGCGGGCTAAGATCAAGTCAAAGCCTGTCGGCACGACTTCCGCAAACGTGTCTGACCCGCATGGTTCTTCCTTTGGAAAGAGGAATAGCATCCCAGCCGACTTCTTATCTGATGCCGTTCCTGTCTGGGGAGTGGATGAGCTCTTGAATTTACCAGAATTGGCGGAAGGTTATCACATAGGTGATATCGGTTCCTCCAAGGTACATACACTGATCAAACTTGGCGTGAACTAGATACTAGTTCAACTTTTCTGCTTTCTCTCAACTTACGTAATTGTCTTTGTTCTATTTCAAGTCTTTTTTGCGGAATTGTTTTGCGCAGTTGTTTCACCCCATGCTTCTTAATTGAAAAACTGTTATAATTGCAGGCTGACATGAACAATCTTGGTGATTACGACTGGATGGCGGATTTGAGCATGTTCGAAGAGCAGATGTACGCGGCTGGGTCGTTCCATGAAGTACCCCAATTGTCCGCTCCTGCTCCTACCGTTGGATTAACTCGTGGAGGTAGGGCGACCGCTCTCAGCAAAGGGAAAGGAAAGCAAGATGCTGCTATTGTTCCGCAGTTTGATGATGCTTTTGTCGTCCCAGACCTTGGTCTTTCAGTTAGTCCTTCGTCACCAGCTCCCGTTACAAAGCGTCGCAGAACTTAATTGAGTCCTTACAATCTCCCTTATTTATTTTGAAGTTCACCAATTTCTCCATCTTCTGTTGGGTTTCTTTACAGTGATGTATCATTTTTAGTGTCATCGTTGCAGGCAACTGTTCCATTATGCGCCAATGGTTCAGTTGGCGTATAATACTTCACACGCATTGGCTATTTTGTAAGGAATGTGGATATGTATCGTAATACCTACTCGTTGGGATACACTCACTTTCAATTAAACCAAATACTGGGTAAAGGAACCAGAATCTGTAAATGCTTAAATCTTATACTTTGTTGTATTTAAGCTTATGTGTACCATAACTGCACTTTTGCTACCTGAAATTCAGTTAGTAGTATCGCTAGGTTTCACTCTGAGGTAATTTAGGGTTTTGGATTTTTCTACTGCTATCTCGTTCCACATAGGAACTCCTTAGCTGACAAAACTATTGTAGATAATAGAGGATATCTGTGCAATCGGTTAACACAAAATAATTGCAATGAGAGCAACGGGTGGCACCGACCTCTTCACTTGCAACAGACGTGACTGTCCACATAGTGACGGTTAAAGTTCTCTACATGAAAGTTGCTAGAAAGCATTCCAATCATTGCTCCTAACCTCAGTTCCACATCTTACACTTGAATACAGGTGAGGATAAGATAATAGCCATTTTGAAATGAATTGATGAGAATGTTTGGAGAGATACAAGAGTAGTTGGAAGTAATATTCACCCACATACACAAAAACAAGAGTATATTGATGTGGTTGTTATACAAAGAGAAGTGCAGATGATAAATAGTTTCTCTTTGTTACGTTCTAAACATTGTAGCTACACTATTTATTGTAAAATACAGTCAATCTTGTGGAGAATATTGGCTATATTTAATGATTTCAACACTTTGCTTTGTTCATCATAATATTTACATAACATGAAATTTGCATAGAATTATGATCTTTATTTTTTTGTAATTTTGCAAGATCTATAGCTACTACATAAAAACCTTATCCAAGAAAACCTTATTGTATTCAAGGACAAAACCATAGTTGAAAGAAAAAGAACACAACATCATTTTTTTTTAATTATTTAAATAATTTATTAACTTTCTTGCATAAGAAAAGTAAGTCACCGCATGCTAATGCCATAAGTAAGTTGGCAATGGTTGCACAAAAGAAGAGCTTTAGTAAGGAGATTAACAAGGTTATTTGCAAATTCAATTTTTTTTTATCTTAAGTGCTTGATCACAAACCAACTCATGGATATAACTAAAATACTTTGGATCAATATGCTTTGTCATGTTGTCTTTAATGAAACCAACTTGCATTTGTGCAATATAAGCATTATTATCTTTATGCAAGATAGTTGGAGAATCATCATATAAAAGCCCACAAGTTGTTTGAATGAGTTTATCAATTGATAGCAATTAAATACATTCCTTAGATACTTCATATAAGGCAATAATTTTTGCATGATTGGATGAAGTTGCAATTATAATTTGTGTGATTGATTTCCATAATATTGCAGCTCTATGTCTTAAGAATACATAGCTTATTTGAAATTTAATTATTGCAATATCAAATTTATATCCTATATCATAATATCCAACTAATTTTAGATCTACAGATCATATGTAATATAATTCGAAGTCTTTATTGTCTTTTAAGTAATGTAATAAATATTTGATACTATTCTAATGTCGTAGTAATGGACGTGCATTGTGTCTTGCAATAACACTAACTACAAATGTAATATCTAGTCTTGTAGATGTAACTAAATATAAAAGTGTTTCTACTGCTGCAAGGTATGGATATTGATCTCTCAATGTTTCTTCCTCCTCTTCGCATGGATAGTATACATTATCACCATCACAACTATGTCCAACTATTGGTGTTGATAACGGATAAGCATCAATCATATTGAATCTTTATATGATTCATCTAATATACATTAGTTAGTAGAAAAAATTACTATCATCTGTGAAATGCATAATTTAAAGATTAATGTAAAAATTTGTTTTTTTTTGGCATTTTCATCTCAAACTCACGGATAAGTATATTAGCAGTTGTAATGCATACAAATCTAGTATCCACTAGGTTAAGATCATCAACATATACAATAATGATCATAAAACCATTTTATCTCATTTGATAAATAAACAAGGGATTAGTAGATTATTTATAAATTTATTTGTAATTAAATAATCCTAGAGATGTTAATATCACATGCATCCAAATTGTATAATTATACATGGCTTTGTATGATTTAATACCACAATATTGACTTAAAGCAGATGCATTTGCAGTTCTTTCCAAATCAAGTAGAACTTTTATATAAATATCACCATCCACAGAATCATATAAAAATGTTGTCATGATGTAATATTGCTAATAGGTGAAAGAGTGTGAAAACTATTATATTATAGAAGATCTTGGTTCAAAATATTATAGCAAATTATCTTAGAAATATACATAATAGTCAAAAGGGTAGTAAAATAAAAAAATAAAAAAAATACTAATATTATTTTTTACAAAATGGGATTCTATTTACTTTTTTAGGGCCATAAATAAGGTAAAAAAAAAGTAAATTAGAAAATTAAATGATATAAGTATGTGTAGGAGGGAATTAAAATTAGATTTTAGTAAAATTTACCTCAAGAAGCTAAGAATTGATATCCGAAGAGGACAAGCTGTCAACTTAGGTCAAAATCAGACCTTGAGGCACAAAACCACACATCTATAGTAACGCTAGGGTTCTTTTGGAGATCAAAGAATGGAATTTGGTAGTAGACTTAATAATGTTTCTATAAGCATTGAATTTGAATAATTTGGATTTGTAATGACTTTGTAAGAGCCTTACAAAGTCAAGATTGTTTTGGATGACTCAAGTTTTGGTGAAATAAACAAGAGTTGATATTTTTGATAATTTCAAGAATTTTGTAGCAAATCTATAAGTGAAACTTTGTAAGTCAATGATTATAGTTGTGCTTAATATGTATTGAAAATTTTAGCTTGATCTAATGGTTGAATTGAGGGTTATTGATGTTTAAGTGGGTTGGGATTTTGAAAAGTAGAATTTTAGGTCTAATGAGAGTTTCTAAGATTTCTTGCAATCTACTAGTTGGATTGAAATTAAAGTTATGTATTTGCATAGTAAACTTATTTTCTTATGTATATGAGAAATTTGAGATCAATTTAATGGTCCAAAGAAGGGATATTAGCATTAGAAGATTAACATCAAGGTTGGAGAAAGATATTAGCAAATATCTGAGTAGTTTTTAGGATTTTTCTTCCATTTGATAAGTGTGATTATCCTCAAATTTGTTGTACTTGTTTATAATTAAAATATTGAAAGGTATGTAAAATTATAAATAAGATCAATAGTTTATTCAAAAGATATTGAGGTTCTAAACTATCTTAGGGTTTGATTTAGGGTTTAGGATTTGGTTAGGATTTATAATTAATTAGAGTTTGATTTAGGATTTAGGATTTGGTTAGGATTTGGTTTAGGACTTAGAATTTAATTAGGATTTGATTTAGGATTTAGGATTTGTCTAGAATTTGATTGAAGTTTATTAGGATTTCACTTAAGGTTAAATTAGAACTTAATTGAGATTCATTTAAGATATATTGTGCTTATTATAATATTTTTTTAGGACTTCTTAAAGATTCTTTTAAGGTTCATTGTGGATTATCTTTCAATTCTTTTAAGATTTCTTATTGTTTCCTTTATAATTTCTTTAAGGTTCTTTTTGAGTTTGATTAAAGTTTGTTTAGTATTGTTAAGATTTAATTGGAGTTTATTTAGTATTCTATTAGAATTAGGATTTTGTTATTACAATTTCTATTCTATCTTTCACAACTAGACACCCAATATATTCTCAAGTAACACTTCACGTATTACACCAATACAGTTACTACATCTATGATATATATCTCAAAGTTGGTATGAACTACAATTCCTATAATATATCAAAATATAATTGAATCCATGATTGAAGAATATGTAGATTCATAATCAATGCCAAATCATTGGATAAATCCTTAGGCAATAAGATGAGCTTTATAGTAGCTTATTTGACTCTTAATATCTTGTTTGTGTATTAATATCATCTTATATCTCATAAGGCAAGATGTAAGAGTGTCTATAATTGAACCAAAGACTTTTTTCTTATCCAAAGAAGCATATTTTTTTTCAATGGTAATTTTTTATTTTAATCAATGAAAGCGATGCATCACTTTTTTTTTGGTTTAAGATTCAGGATCTTCTTCCTTGTAAGAAAGAGCTCTTGCAATCATGCATGCAAATGATTTATCTATTATAATAGATGGTCTATCCCAAATACCATTTATAGCACAATATAGAATAGATAATTTTATATTCAACTTATTTTTGAAATATAGCATGCATATGCTAAATGTCTAATCATTCCACATTTATGGCAAAAATGCATCTCTAATTTTTTTTCCACTGAAATTAGGAATAAAGTTTTTATTCTTTCTCATATTGATAGAAATAGTACAGACTTTTACTACCCTATTATTTATGAGCTTATTTTCC